AATGACAGGGGGTGGGAAGGCACCAGGCGGCGCTGGGCGGGGCGGGGGGAGGAGGCGGTAGCGGCCCCCCCCACACACTCCCCGGCCAGGCGGCTCCCAGGCAGGCTCGTGCTGACCATGCTCCCGCACCCTCCGGCCGCCCCCCTCCTGCTCCTCCTCCTGCTGGGGTGCGGGGCGCGGGGGGAGAGCGGCGGGGACAGCCCCCCCCCGCGCGCCGCAGCTGGAGACCCTGGTGAGGGGGGGGGGCGCGCCGGAACGGGGTGGCGGGGGGGAGGACGGGGGGGACCCCGGCGCCAGAGCTGTGACCCCCCCTTGCGCTCGCCCCGCAGGTGGCGCCCCCCGAGGACTGCGCGGCGCGCTCGGCGCTGGGGGACACGGTGGAGATTCACTACACGGTAAGGGGGGGGCGGGGGGAGCCGCCGGACACGTCAGCACGGGCGGCTCCTTCCGCCCGGGGCGGGGCCAGGCCGGGCCGGGGCGGGGCCAGGCCGGGCCGGGGCGGCTCCCACCTGGCCCGCACGTGCGCCCGGGGGGGGGGGCGGCGCTGAGCCCCAGACGTGGCGGTGCCCGGGGGTGAGGGGGAGACTGGGCCCCCTCCGGCTGGGGCAGTGAGCGGCTCCCGGGGCGGGGCGGGGGAGTGCCCCTGAGTCTCTGGGGCATAGGAATGGCAGGGGGGGCAGTGCCCCCTATGGGGGGGGCAGTGCCCGGGGGGAGGATTGGGGACAGTGCCCCCTGTGTCGGGGGTCCTGCAGTCGTGTCCCCCTCCCAGGAGCGGCACAGGGCAGAACTCTGGCCCGTCTGCCCCCTTTGCCCTTCACCCGGCTTTGTTCCCACGTCTGCCCCCCCGCCTGCTGTGCCCGCTCGCCCCCGCTGCCCACCCCGGGGAGGCCTAGGGTCGGGGCCGGCGTCCCCATGGCAGGGCCCTTTGCGCCTCTGTCGGCGGTGGCGCAGCAGGTGCTCCCTCGCCCCAAGGCCCCGCGCCCGAGCTGGCCCTGGTCTGGCGGCAGGGTGCCCGCGCTGGGGGTTACCCGCGTGTGTCCAATGTCTCCCCACAGGGCAGCTTGGAGGATGGGCGGATCATCGACACCTCGCTCTCGCGGGACCCCCTGCAGGTGGAGCTGGGTAAAAAACAGGTGATCCCTGGTACGTGAGCCTGGGCCCCAATGTGGGGAGGAGGCTGGGCTGGGCCTCCAGAGATCTGGGCTCTCTGCCATTGGCTGCGTGCGTGCCCTTGGCCGTCACTTAACCCCCCACCTCCCCGGCAAGTGGGGGGGGCTGCTCTCAGTCAGGGCCTGTTCAGCGCCTGGTGCGACAGGGGCCTCTAGGTACTACTGACATACTAACTGCAGTGGAAGGTGCATGTCTCTGTTGGCGTCGGCTGGAAGGATCAGGTGCCCCACGGGCCCCCTGCACTGCTCCGAATCCGGCTGGCCCTGGAACGCACCGACATGTTCCCCTGCCTGTCCTCTCTGCAGTGACGGTCTGTGAAGGGGCCACCGCCCCTTGCCGGTGTTTGTGTGACAGAACCTCCCCTCCCACGTCCAGCCCTTGCAGATGTTCCGCCGGGTCGGGGTGTGGGGGAGTATTAGGAATTCCCCGGCTTGGCCGGGGCTCCGATTGGGAGGCTTCTCTCGTAACCCTGCTGAATGATCAGACCCGTCCAGATCCCTGGCTCCCACTTCCTAGGCACCCCGGCCCGCGCTGTCCCTGCCTCACTGGGGCCGCCTTCAGCAGCTTAGCCCCCTGGTGCCGTGAGCCTGCCAGAGCTCAGCGGGGCCGGGGGCTCGGAAGGGAGGCCTCCTGCGACAGGGGGTGAGGAGAAGAGCAATCCCAAAGAGGCCCCGTCACCCAGGAGGGTAGGAACCCTTTCAGAGAATCCCCCTGATTTGTGTCTCTTCTTCTGTGGTTTTTCCCTCCTCCCAGGCTTGGAGCAAAGCTTGCTAGACATGTGCGTTGGGTAAGTGAGGCCCTGGCTTGCTAGCGAGAGCAGTGATGGTGTGGCTGGGGAAAGGCATCCTGGCTCCGTGCTCTCGGCCAAAGCAGTAGACAAGCTGGGGGTCCTCGGCGCTCCCCTTCCGCTCCGGGATGGGGCTGGATCAGTGGAGTGGGCAGGGGGCTGGAGACCCAAACATGGTAAAAATCAGGTCAGAGCCTAGGCAGGGGGCCAGTCCTTCGCTGTACCTGCATTTTCTCTCCAGGAAGCTGGGCCTGGCTCTCGGTGTGTGCTCATCTCCAGGAACAGGAAGGGGGCTCTCTGCCTGCCCTCTGGGCTGGGCTGCCCACTGGGGGCAGGGGCGAGGCGCTCTCTGCCTGCCCTCTGGGCTGGGCTGCCCACGTGGGGGGCGGGGCGAGGCGCTCTCTGCCTGCCCTCTGGGCTGGGCTGCCCACTGGGGGCGGGGGCGAGGCGCTCTCTGCCTGCCCTCTGGGCTGGGCTGCCCACTGGGGGCGGGGGCGAGGCGCTCCCTTCCTGCGGACTGGCTTTCTGCAGCCAGGTGCAGGTGGTTGGGCCTGCAAGCACTTGGAGATGCGCATGCAGCCCTGATACTAGCCCACCCAGGGCTGGATGCGAAACCACGCAGGAAGCTGCTCTCGGTCACTGAGCCAGTGCCCCAACCACCTGCCGCTGGACGTGCTGCCTTGGAGAGGAGGCCCTAATGCATTCTCGTTATTTTAACGCCTCCAGGCCCTTCTCCTTGGACACGGGCTGGTACCCTCAGCATCCTGCCCCCAGCCCAGCTCTATCGCTTACGTTCTACCCATGTACAATTTCAGTTTGATTCGGCATTAGGCACGTCTTGTCCTGAACTGTGATGGAGTTGTGCTGGGTGGCTGCGGTGCTCCACCCCAGCAGTGGTCGCACTTCCCTGGTGGATGGGGTGCCTTGGGCAGGGGATGCTGCGTGCGAACGGCAGGGCTGTGGCTATGCTGCCAAAGGGCAGAAGGTTGGGCCCTTGCTCTGATGTGCCTCTCCCTCTGCCTGGCAGGGAGAAGCGGAGGGTGATCATCCCGCCTCAGCTGGCTTACGGCAAGCGAGGATCCCCGCCTGCTGTCCCAGGTAACTGCCGCCTCCGTGTCTGCCCAGCCTGGCTGGACGTGGGATCTTCCTTAATCGGCCTGAGTCTCAGAGCCAAGCCCTGGTGCCCCCACCCCTGGGCAGAGAGCACTAGGCTGCTGTTAGGTCCCCCCCAGCCCTCTGGTTACCCAGCAACACCTGCTACAGATTCTGCTCCCTGGTGAATTCAGTGCCAGGCTGACAGACAGCCCCGGAGCTGGACGCTGTGGCCCGCCAAGGAGCGAGGGAGCTTGGGCTCTGTAGCCCCTTCAGTCCTTGGCCTGCCTGGAGAGGCTGCCAGAGCTGACGTGGCAGGGCTGGGACTCCCCAGAGCTGCAGCTGCCTCTGGTTTGCTCTGGGCAGGGCAGCGTGCGGGTGCCCTGCTCTGGGGGAGCAGTGCTGTCTGGTGCCCTCCCATGAGCTTGGGCAGTGAGCACATGCCCTGTGCCAGCTGTGTCAGGAGCACTCCCACCTCTGCGGCGTGTGCGGGGGGCCCAGCTCAGCCATGCCCCCTCTCTCCCCAGCGGACGCTGTGCTGCAGTTCGACGTGGAGCTGGTTGGCCTTTCCCGGGCCAGCTACTGGCAGAAGGTGACGAATGACGTGCTGCCCCTGCTCTGCATCGGGCTGATCCCGGCTCTGCTGGGCCTGATTGGCTACCACCTCTACCACAAGGCCAGCAGCTCCCGGGGGGCCAAGAAGAGGCTCAAGGAGGAGAAGAGAAACAAGGCCAAAAAGAAATAAACGTCCTCTCCCCACAGTATCAGCACCTGCTCCGTGGCTGCTTTTGTCAGGGTCCCTGGGGAAGAGGGCCTGGGGGAAGCCCTTTGCTCCCCTCCGAAGGGGGCCGGAGCAGCAGGACTGGCTTGAACCTGGCCAAGCCAGCTGACAGGGCAGGAGAGTGAAGGCATCTCGCTCACAGTGGCCGCCTGCCGGCCCTTTCCCAGGATCAGGCAATCCCAGCGCCGTGCTTCCCTGGGGCAGGGCCTGGCCTGGAGGCTGCAGCGCTGCACCAGGGCTACCAGCCTGCCTTGGAACGCGGGGGTAGAGCCCTGTGCCTGGATGCCCCTCGGCTCCCCTACGCTCCCCTGTCAGGCGTCACCACTGCGATCATTACAACCCTTTAATGGCAGCTTCCTATGGGCACGGAGTGGGACAGCACCGCCGGGGAAGCGCTCGCCGCTCCTCACGCCCGACTCTCCCAGCCACGCGCGCCAGGCACAAGCTGCCGCAGCTGGCAGAGCGCAGTTCCCAGCATGCCCCGGGCGGGGCGGCTCACAGGATGTGTGGCACCTCGTGGGCAGCCTCGATGACGTTGTGAAGGGGCGGTTTTCGGGGGGCTCTGCCAGCGGGACCGGGCGCACGGGGCTTGGGGTTGAGGATGAGCAGTGGGTTGAGCCGGCTGAGCACCTCGTCGCTCACCGAGATCCCGTCCAGGTATTGCTTGAGGAGCAAGCGCAGCTTCTGGTTCTCCTGGCGCAGCACTGCCTTCTCCCGCTCCAGAGCCAGCTGCTCCAGCTTCACCTTGTTGTACCTTTGCCAGAAGTGCTCCAGGCCCAGGTAATCCTGCAGCAGCTGCACTTGGAAGGACAGAGGAGAGCTGAGGGGGGGCTCCCACAATGCACCCATCTGGTTCTGCTTGTCCCCTCAATTAAAGAGCGCTTGGTTCTCAGCAACCTTCTCCCCAGCCGCCCAGTGCGGCACACGCTCCACCAGCTATGCCAGCCTGCCTCTAGGCACCCCCAGCGCCCTCCTTCCAGCA